TTTCAAATACTGTTGCATATTTATATACAAACCTCTGCGCATACATATACATGTACATATATTGCAGCATTCATGTAATAGCAGTTGCTGCAGCTAAATTTTGTTTATTTTTCCTTCCTAATTATTTTTCATATCTGTATAAACAAGTTTAGATATAAATTTCTAGTCGTTATTGTATTTATACTGGCACAAAGTGCTGGCTCATAACTTGGATCATATATGACTCCTAAAAGATTCATATAAGAGTAAAAAAATGTTTGTTTTTGAAACTCATATTTTTTACCTACCTAGGACTCCTTTCCGACTCATATATTCTGAGCGCTCAGAATATGTTTGCGGGGAGGTAATCATAAATGAACTAAAAATATTGGTATCTTAACTAAAAATGCTAAAATTAAAGATAAATATAATAAATCATAATTAAATATAAAATTATTCAAAAGATAAAAATTCAATGTTATTAAATTATTATATAAATAAAAAATACCAACTAATATTGGTAAAGAAACCAATAAAGTATAAAATAATAAATACACACCAGCTTGTAAACGTTCAGGTTGATACCCTCACCCTAAAATTAAAAATAAAGTAGGAATTAATCTTCTTTCAAAAAAAAAAAAAAAAAAAAAAAATTAAAAATAATAATAAGATTAAAATATTAAATAAAAATACATTTTTATAATTATTAAATTTATTAACAGATTCACTAGCAGTAATTATAAGAGTACAAATTCAAAATCTTAACAAAATTAATCCATAAGAAATTGTATCAAATCCTAAAAAATAAGAAATACCCACAAAATAATTAGTACAAAAATTTATTATAATAAATAAAAATGTAATCAAAAATATTAAATTTTGAACCATTTAAAATGAACTACTAATAAAACAAATTGGACTAATAAAAATTATCATAAAAATTAATTTTAACATTGTAAAATATTAAATGATTGAAAATAATCATTTCCATGAGTACGAATTATTGAAACAAGAATTGAAAGACCTAATGCACCTTCACAAACTCTAAAAGTTAAAAATATTATACTAAAAAATCTTCTAAAATTTATTAAATTTAAATAAATAAATATTAAAAAAAATAAATTTAATACAATATATTCTAATCTCAAAAGTATTGATAATAAATGCTTTCGATTAGAAACAAATATAAATTTCCAATTAAAAATAAAAAACAAGGTAATCCTCAATAAAATATTATTAACATTAGTTTCAATAGTTTAATAAAACATTGGTCTTGTAAATCAAAAATAAGATTTAATCTTTTAAAATTTCAAGAGAAAAGTAATTACTTTTTCATTAATCCCCAAAATTAATATATTATATAAACTACCTCCTGATATTATACAATTAATTTTATATAGATCAACTTTAATTTCAAGATTTATTTTCATACAAATAAATCACCCCTTAGCTATAGGATTAATACTATTAATTCAAACTTTACAAATTTGTTTAATAACAGGATTAATAGCTAAAAGATTCTGATTTTCTTATATTTTTAATTTTTCTTGGAGGAATATTAGTTTTATTTATTTATGTTACATCCCTAGCTTCAAATGAAATATTTTCATTTTCAATAAAATTAACAACTATTTGTATAATAATTTTTATTTTATTTATAATTTTAAGATTAATATTAGATAAATCATTACTTTTAACCTTTCTAGAAAATAATGAAATAACAATTATAAATGATATAAATTATTTATAGAAGAAAATTCATTAAATCTTAATAAATTATATAATTTTCCAACAAATTTAATTACAATTTTATTAATAAATTATTTATTAATTACATTAATTACAGTAGTAAAAATTACAAAATTATTCTATGGACCTTTACAATTAATAAACTAATGAATAAACCTTTACGAACCCAACATCCTTTATTTAAAATTACTAATAATGCATTAGTAGATTTACCCGCACCTATTAATATTTCAGTTTGATGAAATTTTGGTTCACTTGGATTATGTTTAATAACTCAAATTTTAACAGGATTATTTTTAGCTATACATTATACAGCAGATATCAATTTAGCATTTAATAGTGTTAATCACATCTGTCGAGATGTAAATTACGGTTGATTATTACGAACTTTACATGCCAACGGTGCATCCTTTTTCTTTATTTCTATTTATTTACATGTAGGACGAGGGATCTACTATGGACCATATTTATTTACTCCAACATGATTAGTAGGAGTACTAATTTTATTTTTAGTTATAGCAACAGCTTTCATAGGGTATGTATTACCATGAGGACAAATATCTTTTTGGGGAGCAACAGTTATTACAAATTTATTATCAGCAATTCCTTACCTAGGAACTACTTTAGTACAATGAATTTGAGGAGGATTTGCAGTTGATAACGCAACATTAACACGATTTTATACATTTCAATTCATTTTACCTTTTATTGTATTTTTTTTTATTTTTTTTTTCGTAGGAGAGGGAAATGCTTTATGCACTGGCCGGGGCCGCTAGTCTCTATAACACCTTCCCCGAGTGTGGGACTCCCACCGAAGCGTGTTGGGCTACCCA